AGGTGGAAGCCACTAGAGAGAGATGATTCTGTCAAGCCAACATTAGTCAGGATGCCAAAAAACAAGTACCCTATCATAGTCGACCCTCTTTAAAGCAATCCTGCATACAAGGACCGAAGCACTTTGCACATATCAGGGAATGAAGAACACGTTAATAATCAGGATACAAGGAAAAAGTATACGAAGTAACCCTGTGATATAATTGATCCATTACCTGAAAATAATGTGTAACTCCTGAATAAATGAAGAACTGTTAGCGAGAAATTTCTTTTTCGAGTACCAAAGCCATTTTTTCTAGTACACACTGGCAAATCATCCTTTTAGGCAGGATTCTTCAGTAATTTACTTAGTTTTTTCCTTTTTAGTTTTAACTGGAGGTTACTTCACATCAAGGAACTCAAACTCGAAAGCATGATATCAGCTTGCATGATATCAAAAATAACTTCATATTTCATAATCTAATGCCCACTAAAGCAGGAAATTGAGGGTATGTTTGGCACAGATTCTCATTTTCTACAGTAAATCAATTCTCATTTTCAACCACACATTTTTCAATAAAATAATATTTTCCATCACATCAATACTTTTTTCTTCTTTTTCAACCACACATTTCCCATCATAAGANGCCTAAGGCCCTGTTTGGGAGAAATTTTGATTTTTCTACAGTAAATCAATTCTCATTTTCAACCACACATTCTTCAATAAAATAATATTTTCTATCACATCAATAATTTTTTCTTCTTTTTCAACCACACATTTCCCATCATGTCACTATTCAAAAATCAATTCTTCCCTCAAAAATTCCTACCAAACACACTCTGAGCAACATTTATGCCTACTAAGAATCACAAGTTTTATAGAGTCAAATGATGTTATTTGACACTTCTGCCCATTAAGAATCAAATAGGTATAGACAGAGTGGGGAAGGAAAATCATCAAGCAATTTGCACGCACTTTGTGTATGGTTACTCTTCAAACAAAAGAAAGTATCATCGGCCTGAATTGTAGATTAGCAGTG